CTCTTTCCCAAAATGAGAAGATTCATAGTCCCAATAGTCATTGCATATTAATTATCTCAAATTCAGTCGTGGTCCCACTGAATATTGTGTTTAAGTAACACAATAAAGACTAAAGACAATTAAAGACTAAGTTGTAAAGTTAACCTCCAATAACTTGTGCATACATTTTTTTAAAGTGAAAAGAGAGAGAAAATGGTTAGTTTATACAAATAAACATGCATATAACAAAGCATAGAGAAAATATCCAAAGCTACTGCAGTTTGTATTTCTTTCTTTTTTTTTGGAGGGGGTTACGTGGGCCTTTCACCGTTGTGGCCTCTCCCGCTGTGCAGCACAGGTCCCAGACGCGCAGGCTCAGTGGCCATGGCTCACGGGCCCAGCCTTTCTGCGGCACGTGGGATCTTGCCGGACCTGGGCACGAACCCGCGCCCCCCGCATTGGCAGGCGGACTCTCAACCACTGCACCACCAGGGAAGACCTGCAGTTTGTATTTCTGTAATTGGTCACGAGGTTATAGTTGATATCTATGGCTTCCTTCTTCCACTACCCATTCCATATTTCCCTTACCTGCAGCAATATGGATGGAATGATCCAGACCTTCATTCTTGAAGGGTCTGAGTCCTTGGTCATTCTGCCTCTTATTGGTTGCTGTAGTTTTCCATTAACATTTACTACTGGAAATAGTAAGGGGTGCCTTAGAGCAGAGGTTCCCATCTCCCGGGCTGTGGGCCAGTACCCGTCCATGGCCTGTTAGGAACCGGGCTGCACAGCAGGAGGTGAGCGGCGCGTGAACGAGCGAAGCTTCATGTGTATTTACAGCTGCTCCTCATCACTCCCCATCGCTTGCATTACCGCCTGAACCTACCCCTCCCCCATCCATGGAAAAATTGTCTTCCATGAAACCGGTCCCCAGTGCCAAAAGAGGTTGGGGACCGCTGCCTTAGAGAACCCCCTGGGCTCCATATATAGTCCACTTTGCCTCCATTGTGTATAGCGACATGATATCCCCTTGGCAGTTAGGAGCAACCACCCCATCCATAGATAACCCCTCCCCCCCTTTTTTTTGCCTATTGGTTCAGTAGCATAAATAAGGAGCCTAAAATGGACAGTTGGCAATCTCATCTTCCAATTCAGTGGAACTATTGTTGTGTCACTTGGTGGAACCAATAACCTTGTGGAGACTAAGATCTCCAAACCAGCAGAGCTCAAAGTTGCCAGAATGGGAAGCAAAAATTCTTTGGGTGGGTTGATCGGGATAATAGTGAAGTGAGAGTAGCTACTCCTATTTCCTTCTCTTGATTCTTGGACCTGTGTATTCTGGTTATGAGGAATACAGCATCTATGATTCAAAGTATAAACTGCATCCTGTAAGACAGAGCCCCATTCTTTTGGGATATTGACTTCCAATTGGCATTAAGTCTTCAGTAAGTCATTCTGCCTTTCAGCTAAGCCAGGCATTTCTGTGTGATGGGGTATGTGGTAAAACCAGTTGTTTCAATGGGCCAGAGTCCATTGATGCATTTTTTTCTTTTGCTGTGAAGTGAGTTCCTTGATCAGATGCAATACTGTGTGAAATGCCATGATGGTGGATAAGGCACTCTGTAAGTTCATAGATCGTGATGCTGGCAGAGGCACTGTGGGCAAGGAAAGCAAATCTGCATCTAGAATATGTGTTTTTTCCAGTGGGGACAAATATCTGCTCCCTCCTTGATGGAAGAAATCCAGTGTAATCAACCTACCATCAGGTGGTATGTTGTCCCTCTGGGGAATGGTACTGTATGGGGCATTTATGTTGATCTCTGCTGCTGGCCAGCAGAGGGGTTAACCAGGTCAGCATTCGTAAGAGGAAGTTCACTTTGTTGAGCCGATGCATAGTTTCCATTCTTGCCACCATGGCCACCATGCCACCATGCCACCATGGCCGATTTGTTCATGGGTCTATTAAGGAAACACTGGTGGCTGGGAAAAGAGGCTAATTGACATAATAGGGTGTATCATTTTGTCCACTGTTATCAAGAGTCTCCTTTACAGTGGATGCCCTTTGGTGAGCATTCACATGAGACAAATATTTTCAAAGTCTATGCCCGTTCTAAGAGATCCATTCACATACCTCTTCTCCAACTTTCCTTGTCACTATCTTCCAGTTCTGTTCCTTCCAAGTCCCTGACCATTCAGCTAAACCATTAGCAACTGCTTATGAATGAGTCTAAATCTGTACTTCTGGTTATCTTTCATTCCACACAAGCCAGACAACATAGAGAACCAAATGTACTGCTCAAAGTTCTGCCCAAATAAGAGATCAAAATGAACTAAACAACTCAAAAAGTTAGAAGAAAATAGTAATGAATAGCAAATGTCTTAATGAAAGAGGAGTTTCGTAGCAGAAAAGTAATGGAAGAAATTATAAAGGAAAAGACTTTCTATACAAAAACAGAAATCTTTGTGATATCAAAAAAAGCAAGATTGGTAGCAACTATAAGTTGTTGTCATTAATTTACAAGATTCTCAAAAAAAACAGATTGAAAAACATTAAGACCTAGTAAAAATTGTGCAAAAAGGATGTAAACATCTCAAAATATAGAAAACAAATGGATATATTAAGTGATGTTCAATTTTGATAGTAATTTAAAAAATACACATTTAAAGCAACAACAATAATAATACATTGCAGAAGTTAGTAACGGTAAGGATTCAGTAAGATTGGTTTTTCTCATATACTGATGATGGAATTAAAAGTTGGTACAATCCTGAAAAGAAATGTGGCAATATATGTGAGATCCTTTAAAAGTGATGGTTTTCCTTTTTCCAGTAATTTGACTTATAAGGAGCCAATTTAGGGAAATAATAAGAGACCCAGAAAAAAGCTTTATGTACTATGATGCTTATTTTAGTATTACTTATAACAGAGGGATAACAGCGTAAATGTTCTTTTAAAGTTTAAGGGAGATGTCTTCTGTGTGTACTGAATTTCCAAGTACTGAAATTTGATATTAAGTTTCCAGTTAAGAATGGGAAGGTCATATTCGATTGCAGAAATTAAACTGACTTTTATAGATCTAATATAAACTCAGTCACCATATATAACAAGGCTTTAATGTCAAAAAAGGTTCTGAGATCTAGACACAACAGATTTTTAAATGAACTCTTGACTGCTGACTAAGATAGCATAAATGTAAAAATAACTTTGTAGGTGTTATAACAATAGAAAAGAAAAAAGGATTCTAGATTAGGGAGGGTGAGGAGGGGAGAAAAGGTATATTGAAAGGTTGAAAAGGGGATAAAAGACAATTTTGCTTCTTTGAAAATAAAATTTTAGGTATGTTTAGTAGTCTGACTTTTTTTTATCCATGAATAAGGCCTTATAATTTCAAATACTTTATAAAACCCTTCTATATTATGTTTAATTCTTATATAACAACTTTGTTTAAAAGGTTTGGTATTTCCACTTTACAGATAAAGAAATGGTAAACTTGGAAAGGTTAAACTACTTACCTGAATATTTATGGTTTGTCAGGCATAGATCTCAAAATCACTAATATATGTAGTGGTTAAGAGCACCAGGTCTGGAACCAGGCTGCCTGTATACAAATTCTACCAGTTCCATTCATGCTTCAGTCTCCTGAAAAGCAAATGGAGAAAATAATGATGTCTGTTGATAGAATCATGAGAAGTAAAGTTAATTCAAGTAAAGAACTTGGAACATTCATGGCACATTAATAAAATATCCAACATTACACAGATATCTCATAAATGGAGTTTATAGTCATATAATGTTTTATACTTTATAAAATGCATTGATATATATTATTATCCCATTTGAGCGTTTCAGCTACCTCTTGAGTTAGGTAGGGCAGGTATTAACATTATATTTTGTGATATATGATTATTTATTATGAAATAATTTGCTCAAATTCATATAGCTCTCAAATGACAAGGTAAGATAAATAATATGTTTTCTGATCGCAAATTTAGTGTTTCTTTATGACTTCATTCCATTCCAATAAAATGCAAAATAAGACAATGTATAAGTTTATTATTTCTAAATGTGAAGTTAAGTTTTGGCAAAATAGAGAATTAACATTTTTATTTGGTCTGGATATATTGAAAGATATATTTTGATGAGCAAAGTGAGATTTTTTTTCTTGGATAGTAATAGCTGTGTCCTAGACTTGGTGCTTTGAGATTTTATGAGAAAGAACTAGAAAGTATTGTTAATGTTTATACATTTTCTTTAAAAATTTTTTTTAATAGCTACATCCTCATCTGCAGTTTCTGCACACTCTCCATCAGTTATTGTAGCTGTTGTAGAAGGGAGAGGACTTGCCAGAGGTGAAATAGGAATGGCAAGTATTGATATAAAAAGCCCACAAATTATATTATCTCAGTTTGCAGACAACACAACATATGCAAAGGTAAGTATTTATACTCCTAGAAAATGGTTCATCTAGAGGGCACTTTGCAGATTTTCAAGTCAGTGCTTTCCTAGTTGGTTTACTTTTTGGTAGAATAATGGTTATTCATTATTGCACCAATGTAGGTTACTCTGAATTACAATAAAGTTTTACATCTGATTTTAACTTTTTAATATTATTTTGTTCTAAAATAACATGTTTTGCTGTTAAATATTCCAAATTACTATTAATATTAGTTTCTAAAATTAATATCTTCAAATTAATAAATCTTGGACTCATTCCAAACATAACATATGTAATAATGCTATCTCCAGAGGGTTGTTTCCACTGAACTGTATTTGAATTTTATTTTCCAGAGATAAGGGAAACTGGTGTCTTAGACCAGTCATAATTTAAGTCTCTCAACTTCTTGCCTTCACTTCCTATCACTCATCATTAACTTGGGCCACTGGCCTGTTGTTATGGGAATTTGTGTAACTTATCAGGTAGAGGTAGTCTACTCCTAATTCAAAAAAGTTATTTGACCCCATTACTATTATTAAAACATATTAAATACTATGTTATTTTTAATGTTTTATTCTTTA